CCGTTGTGTCCCAGGCTCACCCTCCAACTACCACTTACACTCAACATGGGACCGTAGGGGTTGAGTCTGATTCTGTTTTTCCGGGCGACTCAACTCCCTCGCTGCTCATCAGTAAAGAGGCTCACAGGCCTGAGAGTGTAGCCTCCACCCAAACATCACAGGAGCCCCCACACTGTTCCAAGCTGGGGGACGTCATTTGGCTGGATGAACCAATGTCTCAAAATTGTTCCCTCTTGCTGTGCTGCAACCAAGAATCTTCCATCATTACGGATACAACGACCCTGTCCTTGTCTCGAGAGACTCTGTTGAAACCTGAAGGAAGTACAGGGGACGGGGACAGACAAGTAAAGGAAGTAGTTTCAGAGATAACTGGGGAGAAAAAATTCCTGGTGGTATTAGATACCCAAGGAAAAGAGGAAGACAAATTTTCATCACTCATTGTGTGGGACAATGAGGATGAACAACTTCCACCCCCTCCGCATCAGGATATACAAGGGGAGGAGCAGGACAGTAGATCTGCACCCACCCCTCTTCTAGAAATACACTTGACAGGAGATACAGGAGACGTTAGTGCCATGCAACAATCCATCCCGTCTATTTTGACGGTTAGTACCAACAATATCAGCAAAAGGCAAAAACTCAGAGCTAAAATGAGCATAGATGTGAGTGTCATATCCCTCTCTAAACCTGAAATAGTCATTATACCCGTCAGGTTGAAGGAAGGAGTACGGGAAGTTGCTTTGTCAATGGTAGATGGTTCTCAATATGGAGGAGTCACATTACAGGGTACAACGCCATCCTTTGTCTCCCTGTCAAACCTCACAGGAGGGAAGACAGGGGAGATGATGATTAAAATGGATGTAGCGAAATATATTAAAGAGTCATTTCCACAAGGGGGCTGGTCCACTCTCACTCTCACATCGGCACTCACTTTCACATCAGAAATGAGTAGGATTGCTGACAGAGATGTATACTTGGGATACAAGCCAGGTGAGTTTATTGATCTAAAATGGATGAGTATGGGATCTCTTATGGAGATTCAAGTTCTAAAGATCAAGGCCAGTTAGTTTTGGTTGGAGTCAAATGTAACCTTACTCCTGCTGAGAATAATTAAACAAGCGGTTCTATCGCATGGGGGCATATTAGATACTGGAAACTGGGAGTTCTTGAAAAAATCCCACTGGTTGGTCATCCTCTACAGAAAGTAAATGTTGCCCTATTCCTTAAATAAGTTAGCTTTGGTTATAATCATTAATGATGGGGGAAATAAATTTAGTAGATGTGGTTTACAACAAAGACAAAAATTGGAAACACCTGAAGAGAAATGCAGACCTAGATCTCAGGTCATTAAACGTTAATGGGTTAACCTCAGCCAATAACTCCAAGAAACAAGCAATATATATTAACAAATTAGGGAAGTAGATGGTAAAAACTAGCCCGACGTAATCTGTATACAAGAAACTCACCTCCAAAACACAGATGCACACAATTATGTCCCTAAAGAAATCTGGCCCCACACGTCATACAGAGCGCAAACTCCCAAACCAGGGAGTGCGGGCGTTGCAATTTGGATGCCCTCTGACACCAAGTTAGAAGTTATAGGATGGAAGGCACACCAACAACAGGGTAGATGGGTGTACATACTGGTGATGATGAAACCCGAAATGGTTAGCACCCTAAATGTCTATGGGCCAAATGACTTAGGTGAGCGAGAGGACTTCTTCTCGAATATACTCACCCATTTACCACCAGGCATCCCCGTTATCATTGCAGGAGTTTTCAATGCAGCTTCAGACCGTAAATTAGACAGGTGGAACCTTCCTGTCCCCTGTCCTGCTTATGTGGAAATGGATGAGCTCATCATCTCAAACCTTTGTCAAACAACTAACCTTTTTGATTCCTTTAGGAGATTGAACCCGAATACCCAAAGTTTCAGCTGCTTCAGGAGGAATCAAGCAAGGAAAAGCACAAAGTTCAGAATAGACTTAATCCTAATATCTCAGGAACTGCAGGGGTCAGTACATTTTGCCAACATACTCCCAAGAAGCCCCTTCCCAGGATTAGATCACGCTATGTGCATCGTAGTACTCACACTCAGCAGGAAACCTGATCAAGGTAGAGGGTTTTACAGGCTTAACACTTCACATCTCAAATCAGACAATTTCAAACAATTCCTCATTGATGTGTGAAATTTCTGGAGAGAACAGAAGTCCCTCATTAACGATACAGTTAAGTGGTTCAACAACGGCCTAACTTTCCTAGGACGTAAATGCAATGAATATTCCAAGTGTAACGAGCGAGAGGCTGAGGGAGACAAGGAGAGCCGGGAGAGGAGAGAGAGAGGGAGAGAGTGAGAGCAAGCACACACACACACTCACTCCCTCCACACGACTGAGGGTCGGACGCAGACACAGGGGCAAGGACACAAAGTCGAAGTCTTGGATTCCGAATGCCGAACAGGAGCAATTCACACTGAGTCCGAGTACAGCAGCAGAAAACTTGGTATGAGACCCCTCCCCGTACTGTACGGGGCACCGGTATAAGTACCGGGTGTCCGGTACAGTACCGGGGGCAGTTCTGCAAAAGCCCCGAGGGCAGAACTGAAAAGTGCGGTATTTGAAAGTGGCGCCCGAATTGCAGCATGGCGCCAGTTGTCCAAAATCCTACGGTACCAAAGGAGGGGTTTGAAAAAAGGGTGCCAGGCCAAAAACGGGATGCAGCCGAAACAGCAAAAAGATAGACCAGGGATCAAGCCCTGGCTGAGTCCGTAACAATATCCCCTCCCTCTAAGAGGCAACGTCCCGGCTGCCAATAGTCATGGAACAATGCAAAAAGCTGTGAAGGACGGGACGGGGCCGAGCACTGGTCATCAAGGTGAAAAGGGAAAGAGGGGTATAATGTAGGTGTCACAGGGTGTCGTGTTGGTGGGTTGTGAACAGGGCTATCCTACTGGTGGGCTAAGGGTATTGCAGGGAAACAGGATAGTCCTATTGATATTCTACAAGGGGGAGCAGGTAACAGGATATCCTACTGATGTTCTACAAGGGTGAACAGGGGATAGGGTATTCCTACTGATGTTCTACAAGGGTGAACGGGGTATTTCTATTGAAATTCTACAAGGTTATGGGTTCTCAGGGGATGAAAAATAAAATAAAGGAATTATATGTTGCAGGTTCGAAGGCAATTTCACATGTACAAGGGTTGGGGTGTCTGTTGGGATCTGGGTACACAGTCTGAGGTTTGTAATGGGTCAAGGGGTCTGGGGGGGTCTTCAAGTGTCTTGATAAGGTCTCAAAGTAGGCAGCAAGGCGATCTTCAGCGGCTGCGATAGGAGGTAGTCGTAGAGGTAGTCCAAAAGGCCAAAGTCGAAGTGCTCAGGTGCGTCCGGTACATGATTGGCAATGGAGTCTGATCCGGTAGCAAGGGAGTCGCAGACTGGTATATGGTTCATGTGACAAGTAGCTGCTCCAGGGAGTCTGCGAGGCAGGTTGCCGACCGTTGTAGCAGCATGGTGGCCAATCCAGCTGCATAATCTCCATGAACCGTGATGCAGCAAGCCATCGCCCTCGTGCGCGCGCCATTAGATCCTTTATCGCTGGTCGTCGCGCAGGTCCACCAACATTGGACAAGATGGACAAGGAAGTGGAGAGGACGAATGGGGCAGGGCTAGGCGAGGAACAAGGGCAGATCAGACATCAGAAAAGTGGGTCAAGGGCAAGGGTGGCTGTGGCGGGGGTGTGTGTAGAGCAAGGTGGCGAGGTTGTAGCAGGGTTTAAGCAAAGGTTCAGGGTTTAGTCAGGGTATGGGCAGGGGGGGTAGCTAGGATGCAGGGTGGGAACGATCATAGGCGCGGACAAGTCTCATGGCATTCTTGAGATTTTCAAGGGGTTCCCATGTTGATTCTTTGTCAGGGTATCCGGTCCATTTGACTTTGTATTCGGTGAGTGGTTCCGGATGGTCTGCGACTTGGGTTGTTCTTCTTCCTATGATTGATTCAACAATGAATTCTGGTCCAGTGGGAAGCATGATGGGTAGAGGTCGAGGATATGGGCGATCAGCGAACTGAGGCGGGGATTCATGGTATTCCTTGAGATATTCTACATGGAAGACTGGGTGTACACGGCTCATGTCAGGGGGTAGCTAGAGTTTGTAGTTCACGGGAGAGGTTTGTTCAATGATGGGGAAGGGACCGAGCCACTTGTTCGAGAGTTTCTTGGACAAGGCCTATAGGTTCAAAGCGTTTGGCGGAGAGCCAGACTTTGTCCCCTACTTGGAAGGTGATATCACGGCGATGCTTGTTGGCTTGTTTAGCTTGTTGTTCCTGGGTGTGCTTGATTGACTCGGTTGCTTCTCTTAGGAGACAGTTCATTGTTGCAACCCATTCATTGAGAGAGGGACAGGGGGAGGATGGGTTGAGTTGCGAGGGGAGCAAGAAGTCAGAAGGCAAGCGTGGGTGATAGCCAAGGTCAAGGTAGAAGGGGGACATGCCAGTGGAAGGGCAAACGACATTGTTGTAGGCAATCTCGGCGGCGGTGAGCAACTGATCCCAATCGTGCTGGTGGGGATGACAATACTTGCGCAAGATTCTTTGGAGAGTATCGTTCATCTTCTCAGTTTGTTCGTCGGTTTGTGGATGGAATGCAGTGTTGTACCTGAGCGTGGTTCCGTAGGCATTGAAGAGTTGTTTCCAGAATTGGGAGAGAAAGCGGGGGTCACGATCACTGATGATATTCTCGGGGAGGCCGTGGTGTCTGGCGACATGGTTAAAGAAGAGAATAGCAATGTCTTTGGCGTTGTGCGAGGTGGTACATGGGATAAAGTGAGCACGTTTGGTCAGGTGGCAAACAATGACGTAGATGCAGTCATGCCCGCGGTCGGTCTTGGGAAGACCGCACGCGAAGTCCATGGAGACGGACTGCCAGCGGTGGGTGGGGATGAGCAATGATTGAATCATGCCGGGCTTAGCCCGGTTCGAGGGGTTGACGGCCTGACACGTGGGGCACGAGCGGATGTAGGCTTTGACGTCAGCAAGGAGGGAAGGCCAATGGAAATAACGGGAGATGGTATCAAAGGTTTTCTGGAAACCAAGGTGGCCAGCGGTCTTGGCGTCGTGGTGCTCGACCAAGAGCTGGATGCGGAGGCCACGGGCGTCAGGGATGAAGAGTCGGCGGGTGCCTTTGGTTTCTATGTAGAGAATGTTGTCGTGGAGGGCGTAGCCGGAGACGGGGTCAAGGTCACGGAGTTTGTTGTAGATGGTGGTGAAGTCGGGGCAAGAGAGGTATCCTTGGGTGTAGCGATGGTGGAGCGATGGCAGGAGCTGGATGTGGGTCATGGCAGCGCAGACTTTCTCAAGGGGCTTGTGGTCGGGGCGGCGGAAGAGGGCATCGGCAACGCGGTTGCTCTTGCCAGGGGTGTGACAAATGGTGAAGGTAAATTGGGCAAGGAAGTCTAGCCAGCGGGCTTGGCGAGGGGTGATGTCTTTCTTGGTCAAGATGGAGGAGACGACGGTGTTATCGGTACGGATGGTGAAGTATTGCCCGTCGAGGTACGGGCGCCAGACTTTGAGGGCGTAGACCACTGCGAGGAGTTCCTTCTCGTTGGATGGGTAGTTCATTTCTGCGGGAAGAAGCTTCTTGCTGGCGAATGCAATGGGGTGCTCGCCGGGTGGGCATTGGGAGGGCGTGGGGGAGTCCTTGATGGAGGGGGTTTTCGCAGGGTCGGGGGGAAAGTGCTGGGATAAGACGGCCGCGATGGCAAAGTCGGAGGCATCCGTGGTGACGAAGAAGTGGCTAGTGGGGTCGGCGATTTTGAGGACAGGGGCAGTGGTGATGAGCTCCTTGAGTTTGTCGAAGGCGGCTTGGCGGCGGTCTGTCCAGGCAAAGGGTTCGGTGGCACGGGTGAGCTCATGGAGGGGGTAAGAAACGTCGGAGAAGTTGCTGATGAAGGGGCGGTAGTAGTTGGCGAGTCCCGTGAATGAGCGAAGTTGGGTTAAAGTGGTGGGAGGGGGGAAGTCGACGAGGGCAGAGACCTTTTTGGGGTCCATGCGGATGCCGTCGGTGGAGACAATGTGACCAAGGTATTCTACGCTAGAGGCAGCAAATGTGCATTTGCTGAGCTTGGCGTAGAATTTCTGGTCGCGAAGGATGGCGAGAACTTGGCGGAGATGATCAAGGTGGGACTCGAAGGTGGGGCTAAAAACAAGGATGTCGTCGAGGTAGATCACGACACAGACTTC